CTTGCGTGTGGGGGTAGGCTTAGTGTCCATGCAACAAACGCATTATTACCCACCTGGACAAGACTGCAAACCGCTTTCAACGCATCCAGGTATGGACGGGTTACCGTACTGGAGGGAAACATATTCATCAAGAATTATGGTGATATTCTGGGGCGACTACCAGTAATGGCGGTTTTCAGAAATTGTCATATCTGGCATTCGTCTAATATTATTGGGGTGATCATTGATATACGCAAGTGTCAACGGGTCATGACATTTTGGTTGGTGCTTGAAGTGGCTGTTTTCGGCCCAGTTCATTGATACAATATGATTTCCATAGGTCGCATATGGCCAAATTCCAAGAAGCCAGAGCCCGCTTTAATTTGACCGGCTCTGATGGCCACTCGAACCAAAGGGGCGATGTGAACGCATGGTCTGACATGACATGGTCCGGTGAAGGACACAGCGATATAATGTAACCTCAGCCTGTGAGGGATTATTTACGCTGGCCCTTAAACTTTTTTCAAAACTAATTTATATCTTTGTTTTGTTTGTTCGAATGCTGTGCCGTCAAGCGAATAAGAATTTGTGTGATTTCAAGGAACGACTTCTCCGTAACGAACTTCCGCCGCACGTCGCCATGCAAGTCAAAGCCGGAATCACGTCCAAGCAGATGCACAGCCAATTCCGAAACATCTACATTCAGCGGCACGAGAACGTCAGGTTCGAAAAAAATGCCAAGCGTTACGTAAACGCAACGTTGTTGAATGGCATGCGACATTTTCAGCATTCTCTTTGCGGACATCGTCGGCTTCACGGACCTGGCATCGCAATGCACCGCCCAGGATTTGGTGCGGATCCTCAACGAGCTGTTCGGAAGATTCGATCAGATTGCCCTCGTGAGTATTGTTTAGTAATGTTTTGTTTGTTTTAACAATTGGCTAAACAACGCGTGCCTCGGTTTTCACTGCATTACTGGGCATGGAAAAGTTTGACAGATCGATATTTCCGTATACGACGGGGAACAGTGAAATGCGCAATCCTCAAACTTGCTCAAAGAAGTTATTTGTTTCCTGCGACATCCTCCGTATTCGTATAAATCAAAACATTCCTGCGTGAGAACCAACTCATTTATGTGCATATTACCGTCCACAGTGGTAATTCATCTATGCCGGTATGGGCTGAAACTGATTTGCGGTTCAGTCCAAGCCAGTAATACCACCGTTTTATTGAATTATTACTAAACTCACCTATCAACCGAAGCCACAGCACTCTTGCCTGCATGATTAAGTTTTTACCGCAGCTTTGATATGCGATACGGCTTAGGCTATAATGCAATGACAACCGAAAATTATCAGTCTTGGCTCAAAGACATTATTTTCAGTCCGTACCGGTTTAGACGGGTAAACACTGTAGAAGTAACGTATATAACGTAACAGCCCTCGAAATATCATTATCCGTGAGCATGGAAATGTTGCCATATGCACTAACGTACTGCAGAAGCTAAAATACGTTGGAGCTTTGGTCTTCCTTGGACGTTTCTATAGGCAGGGTTGTCATGCAATAGCACCATGCCGTAAACGGGTACAATTAGGAAATTAGCCTTGTTGCCTTTAGTAGACAAAACAATTTTTATTAATATTTTTATCTCCTTTCATATTATCTACTTCTCTGTTCTCCATTACCGCCTTCTTTTTAATCTTCCTCAATTCATTTTTTCATTTTCCATCTTTTCCTTGTTCATATCCTCTTGTTTTTTCTCCTCTTGCCCTTTTCCTTCTCCTATCGCTTCCTCTACTCCATATTTTCTTAAATTTCATTTCAAGAGTTGGTTTTCTTGGCAAAGTTCTATCTGCCGCATATTTACTTTCTTCTAATTTCGTAACGCATTAAAAGTATTGACTCTT